CTATGAGAGCGGATAATGGAAATGGATTTGCTGTTGTGCTAAGTGTCCGGGCTCTCTGCCCCGGCATGGATTCAGCCCCCTTGACAGCAAAGAAAACTCGTGTTTACTTAAAAGCTTGTGTTTACTGGGCTGGTAAAGCGTGTGCACGGAGATCTGTGCCTTTCCTTACTGTGGAGTGAGTGCTTTAGCTCCTTGCCTCGCATACACGTGTAAAAGATAGCTCTGATAGATCAAACAAAAATCACCCCTTAATTGTCCTCAGAACTACCTGCCTGTTCTTTGAGTATCTGTGTAGAAGTTTTCTACGTCGTGTTGCGGTTTTCAGGGTTTCTTTTTTTTATTATTATCATACAGACCCAGATTTGGCAGCATGTTTTAAATAGCTTATAAATTATGCATGTCTAAACAGTAAGGTGAAGTTTAAGCTTTTTTTTTTCTGCAGTAATTGTTATAACTGACCCGTCCACTGGAGCTTTTAAGAACTAAACTACTGCCAAATAACTTGTATAAATTGCAAGCTTAGTAAAAGGTAATGTCATAGTCAGTGACACTATGTGTCACTGCACTTTAAGCACGAATTCTTAAAGCCCCTAACTCAATTCTGACATTGATGTCTAATATCTGTCTGTTCATTGTCAGTAGATTTGGATGGAGTCTCAGTATCTGAAGCAATGCCTGGGAGATTGCTTGAAGAAAGGACTGGCAGAGGTTGTAGAGCATCGGCCAGCAGATCCAATAGAGTATCTTGCACACTGGATTTACAAATACAGAAGAAACTTAGATGAAGAAGAAAAGGTGGATCCAACTTAGGCAAAAAAAAAATAAATATATATATAATTGATGATATTTAATATATCTTCCATTTTTATATTTAATTGATTCTGTGTTACCTCTGAAATAGAGAATACTGGAGAGAGCTGAGCTGGAAGAAGAACGGGTGGCAGCCCAAGCAGAACTTGAAAGGTTAAAAATCGAGGAAGAGCAGCGGAAACTGGAAGAGCAACGGCAGGTTATTAATGCTTAATAATAGATCATTCCAAGCAGCATACTGTGCTGTGGCATCTTGGAGCTCTATGTATACTTCTAATAGCTGTATAATGATTTTGATAAAGGTGACATAAAGCAGGCATTTTAATTTCCCTTTTCTGATTAACTGAAGTTATTAGTCAGCACATGGGTAGGAAAAGTTACATACTATGCAGTAAAATGTTATTAAAAAGTGATGGCTGTTAAGTTAAAAGTCAACCAGTTTAGGAGTTATGTGAGAAGTAACTGAAAGTACTGTTTGGGCTTATAATATGAAATTAATATAGCATCTGTGTTTCTAGCCATTTTTTGTAAAGGAGTCATGTGAACCCAGGGTTGCCATGGTGATGTTGATGTGACCTGACTGGATTTTTTTGTATGGATGACTTCCATGATGTTAAAATCAAATGCTTAATTTTAAATTTATGCTGATCACATTAAGCCCAGCTCTAGTGTAAGATGCATTCATTTTATTTCACTTGCAGTTTTAAAATTTGGAGTTTAGTAATTTGCAAACCAAAAGTAATGTGCTTAAGGGTTTAATGAGTGATGTAAAATAGTAAATGAAAATAAAGAGATTGTGTCTAGAGATAATTCACTGAGAATTAAATAAATCATTTCACTTAAGCTATGGGAAAGATGTTGAACAATACTCACATTAGATGCATTTTTTTAACCTAACTCAGTTTTGTAGTCAAATACTGAGGTAAGTTTTGCATTTATGTACCAAAAAGGAATAGAAAATTATGACCATGTTTGTAACTGCTCACAAAATGCAAGAGCAAACAGTGTTCTCTAAGGTTGTTGAGTATAAATAGATTATGCAGTTTCTGAAGTTTTGATGTAATAAGACTTGTGTTCCCAATTAATAAACATTTCCTGATAGATATTTCTAGTTGTAAATACTAAAAGTTGCTGATGGACATGATTAATGTTAATGACATTGCCTGCCAAATTTTTCTATAGGTTTGATTCTACATTGATTCCTCAGTGTGTTCTAGGTACTACACAAAGTATCAAAGAACTTAATCCAGGAGATAACTAATACAAACTGAAAAAGAGCTTGTGTAATGAGACAGTATCTGAAGTGTGTACACTAACTTCAGTTAACTGTTTTTTCTTCCTCTTGGTAGTAAAGCTTCTTTAGCAAATACCTTTCTCAAACCTTTGAAAATGATGATGATGATAATGAAAGGATCTTGTTATTAGCATAACATAGAAATTATGTTTTATGCTTACTTTTTATTTATTATTTCAATATAAAATACATTGTAAACAATGTGGTGGAAAAGATACATGAGGGGTTTTTTTCTTTCTAATTTGTCCTTTCTTGTACTGATTTCAGGCTGAGTTGGAGAAAGAACTTGCAGAGTTGGAAGCACAGAAAAAGGAAGCTGAAAGGCAGTTGCAGCAGGTAGATCAAGAGGTTTAAGCCAATGCTTAGTTGGTGGTTTGAAAATGCCATTTATCAGCCATTTTTTCCAGATACAGGCATCAATTACAAAACACAAAGCAGAAGTGTTGAACTAACACATAATTAAAGAAACAGGAGTGGAGATAGGAGGGAATGTTTAACACATGGCTTCTGCAGTCTGGGTTTTATACTTGAATTTTGGTCAGAGCAGAACATAAATTTACTCCAAAAATCCAGCATAAGTTCAGCTTACCTGATGCTTCTACATTTCTTGATGGTATTTATTAGAAAGTTTTATAAAATAAGCATGTCTAATTGAAGTACCAATATAGTAATATTTTACAGGGGGTTAGCATAAAATCCATTTACTGTACCTGGAAAAAGAGCTGTGGTTTGGAATTGCAGTGCATCTGGATTCTGCTATCATAGTGGTGCATGGGAATTTATACTAACAGAAAGGTGTCTATACAGATATCCATGTTTATGGTCTTTTAATGCTGCTTCAGTAAAAACATACATGGATAATTGGCATGCTTATCTCCCTAAAGCTTTTAAATCTCTGTGGGGCACAGAGTATTTTAGAAATACCGAAGTTTTTAGAAAACTCTGCTAAAATACTGACAAAACATAATTGTAAGAAGATGAACATATGAAAGTGACAAAAAAATAATATATAAAAACTTTAAATTGCTGTTAATTAAAAAAAAAATTAAAAATAGGGCTAAGCATACCAAGACATATTCCCATACTACTAAACTTGAATAGCACTTATCTAAAGTGTACTCTTTACCTTGATACATAACGTCATTTTAACACACCTGAAATGTGATTTCATGACATGGGACATTTGACATGAACTGAAAACTGGTTTTCTTTACCACATGAAAATGAACAGGCAATAGCTGAAGTTACAGATGAACCTGAGGAGCCAGATGAGAGTGAACCTGTAAGTGTTTAGAAACAGATTATAAATTATTGATTCTTAAAAATTTGCTTTTCTGTACTGACAATAGATTTATGAAAATATAACTTATGACTGTTCTTAGGGTCAGCTTTTTACAGGTGTTTTTTCCACTGAGATAAATCAAATGTGTATGCAAGATCCCATATAGCCCCAGTTTTTATCATTTTCTGATAATTACATATTTTAAAGTGTTCTTGAGGCTTTGGGCATATTTTATGGGTTCTTTAATAAGAAAATTGTAAAACCAGAAGGGAAAATGAGTCTTAAGTGTCTGCTACTTTCTACATGTGCCAAGTTTTCATGCCTGAAGGTGTTAGATTCCTTTGGCTTTTGGGGATGTTATTTCAGGTTTTACAGTGACATGTTTGCTACAAATTACAAACAGATTGATAAAATAAGACATATATGCTTGTACTATTGATTCTGCCCTCAAAATCACAATGCATCATCCAAATTTGCTGGATTTTATAATAAAAGTCTAGTGATGACATTAATTGTATTCATTCTATTGAATGGAAGAATACATGATTATACTGATAAATACCAACTTGTCTGTCATGGGCAGGTTTTTCTATTTTCCTTTTTACAAAGCTCAGTGAATGCTGGTAAGTGGTAGAATATTTTTGTTGTTGTTTTCCAGGGTCAAACAGACCTCCCAACAGTAATAGAAGAAGAAGAAGAGGAAGAAGAAGAAGAAGAAAATTAGAACTGACCTGAGAGCAGTAAATCTATTTTCTACTCATTACTTGCTATCCTGAAGTGTAGTATCTTGATTTATGTATTTTATAAATATAACTGATTTATGTAACTGTTTCTCTGGTGTGTGTTTTCAAGGTCTTTGTATAAAGTCTGTTATTTCTGATACCTATTCTTCCTTTTTGTTCTTAAAGCATTGTAACTAGCGTGGCTGATTTATAGGAAGAAAATTGCAGCTGAAGTGAAAGAAACAAATATATTTTCTAATTGTTGCATATTGAAGTAACCATAATAAATAACAATATAACTAAAGTGTCAATATGATTTGAGGATAGATGCTACAATATGATAATTTGAATCAATGTTATAAAAGACTAAAATATTACTGAAAATTATTTTCAAGAATTTGAATGGTTTATGGCAGAAAAAGGGAATGATCTGCAGATTAAAAGATGGAGAGAGTATTCTGGACTTCAAACTTGGTGCAAAAATCCAATCAGTATTCCCAAATGTATTTGAAAGAGGAAAATTTAACTCTGACTCAGTAGATACTAGAAGATCTTGTCTCCTAGAAGTCATCTAGGTCTTTATCATTGGAAGATATATTTATTATTATGTCTATTATTAGAACCCTTTTTGGGTATTGTGTGGTACTAAGTAAGCTGCAAGTGTCTGCATGTTAGTCTTGATTAATCAAGTTTTTAAGACTTTACTGCATTTTTCTTGAATTTGTAAATCAAGAAATTAAATGTATTCTCTACTAAATACAATCATTATTTCTAAAACTTCTAAAAATTTAGAAGAATATTTCATTTGATCCATGGTTATTTATAAAAACAAGTTAAATAATATCTAAAGATTGCATTTTTAAAAGAACAGATGTTTGTAATCTTGGTATAGGTTGTCAAGAATGTTCTGTCTCTTTGTTATAAATGGAAAAAACTTCAGCATCAAGAAATCCTGTTGTTCTATAAAATGTGCCTTTGCATCTATGCCTTCTACTACAGCTTAGATGGTCATGGCCAATATTGTGTAATGAAAATAGCTTTCATTAGAAAATCAGTGCATAATTAATGCACTCACTGCATTCTTCAGTCTTGGAATGAAAGAGATTTTTCTGATAATTTCACTTCAATTTTTTTAATAGTATCGCTGAGTCTAAGTGGTTTGCTGTCTTTGGCAAACTGTTAAAAATATCTGTACACCCAACAGACAAGGGTCAATCACATAATAAATGTTTTCCTGCTCTGAATAACTTGTCTTGATCATGTAGATCAGACTAAGAATAATCCTACAAAATTTTAAAAACATGAGCACTATTGATATTTCTGTATAATAATATATTATTGTTTCCCTTAAAGTATCTCTATTTAAAAAAATCCTGTTCCCATCTTATTGCTACACTGCTTTTTGAATGCTGTTAACAACCACGTCCTATATGAGCATCCTTAAAGTCGTTTACCAGGTATAAATACTTAGAAATGTTTCTGTAACTTTTAGAGTCATGAAAAGTGGAACTATTTCTTGTGTCTAAGTGGTCAGGCTTTACTATCTACAATAATTCTGATTGGTTTGCAGTTTCTGTGATAGTCAAAACTTTTCCTGTGGCAGGAATGCACCCTTGTGGTTGATGTTCCAGATTTTGACACAGTTCACAATTATATTTGTTACAAACTGTTACAATAGAATCATTCAAGGACACGCTTTGATACCACAGTTCTAATTATACTGTTAACACTGCATACACATCAGCCTCTTGTGCCAATCTCAAAGGGATGGAGTAAATAGATAAACAGATGGAATTTGTTTTTTAAACAACATCTATAACTGATTCTTAATATTTAGATTAACATTTCCAAAAATTGGTAACTCATGTTCATTTTCAACACTTAATGTCCAGTCATGTTGACCATGAAAATTTCAACCTTCATACAGCCTTCAGAAAGTAAGATACTATTTTAAAACATGCTAGAAATCATTTCTGATGACATGTTGCTTTCATTTTTTAATTGTTTCATACTGTTTGTATTTTTGTTTGATTTTGTTGTATGTGTCCACTAGAGTGCATCCTAAATAAGCACACTGGAAGCTTTGTCAATTACAGCCCATGAAAGCTACAATTTCTGTTTGTCATTGTGTTTCAGCTTATTTTTAACTATGACTTTTTCTTTGTGATGCTGCAGTCCATATTCCTCATTTTATTTCAAGATAACAAGTTTTGGATGGAAACTTTTATCAGAAAATTACTAAGCAAGGGTCAAAACAAAATGGTAGATTCCAATTTACCTGTTTCTTTATTGTTAGGTACAGAAAACTTTTCTTGTTAAAATGTTGTTTATAGGAATTCCCATTTTTTTTAGGATCTGATGTGCACAGACCTGGTGCATTACAGCTTTATAGGAATTCTTATCTTGGATATGTGACAAGAGGTAAACAGTTCTTGGCTCCATGCTTTCTTGAGGTGCAAACCTGCCTGTAGGTCACTTGAAAATGTAGTTCACAACAAAGATGACTTCTCCTTGGGTGTCTAAACCTGGAGGGAAATTAAGGCAGCTTAAAATAATTTTTGCCTTCTCTTTCTGAACTTTCACCTTCTTTGGAATTTAGCAAGCTAGAGCCTGGAGGAGGATGAATTACTCTTTTAATTACTGCTCATGATGCAATTTCAGAAGTGTGAGCACAATTTAACCGCGGCATAAAATGTAAAATTGTACACTGGAAAAAAAAAAAAAAGCAATTACATAAGGTAGCTTCATCTGCAGCTTACACTCCCTTTGAATAAATTTTTGTAAAATTTAGGAAAGAAGGATAAAATTCATAGACAGATGATGCAAACTGTCACTGAAAATAAGGCTCTAAATACTGACAGAAAATTTATGAAATTGTCATTTTTCCTTTCTTCAGAGTAAGAGCAGTCTTGTTTAGGGTGAGCAGGCCATGTGCAGGTCCTTCAGAGAACATGCTGATAGTAACATGCCCATTCACAGCTGTTCTCATTCCAGCAATACTGAAGCACAAGCATGAAAACAGATATGAAGCCCAGAATAGGACAAAATGATTCAGATTAACTGTCAGTCTGCTCACAGAGGTGAAAACAGCTCTGCAGTGTGAGAACCTTCTCCTGCATGGAGAAATGCATGTTGCAGAAAACACATTTATTTTAAAGTTATCTTTTAATGGAATAGGTTTTATTCAGTTTGCAGTCCCTTTTATGATGAATGATTTTCCTTCATAGTCTAAAGGAACTAACTCATCTTTTTGTTAACAGAAATTTTATACAGTATTTTGCTAATGGCAATGGGAGCCATATGAATTAGTCTGGATTAAATGTTAAATCAAATTTCTCTGAACTTTGCTAATACAGTTTACTTATATTTGAAGTCAGCTATTAATTGCTTTATTTCTTTGAAGAATTTCTTGTACTTAGGTTAGAAAAAGAGCAGTGTTGTCTATTGACTACAGCTAGAAATGAGAGTCTAAGCCTGTTATTTGCTGATAAGGACTGATGTACTTTTTAAAGTATCTTACCAGTGTATTTGTTTGCTTTTACAGGTTTGTTTTTGAGTTGTTGCTTTTTTGGAGTTTCTGTTTGGGTTTTCTTGTGGGGGAGTTTGTTTGCTTGGTTTTATTACTTTTGTTTGTTTTCTGGTGCTGCCATTATAGAGCTTCATGCAGTTGTGTTTTATACTTGTGTATTTGTTACAATTCATACAGTGCAAGAAGTTATACTATTGCAAGCATTTGTACAGGTATTGGGCAAACACTGGGAAGAAAGGCCAGGTAGAGGAAGGTGCCCTTTTCTGATCTGGCACAGTGTAGCAGATTTTTAAAAAATTAAAAAATTCTCATTCTCAGAATTGGAGAGTTCTCAGATGTATATGCAACTTCAGTACTGTGGGTCTTCCCTGTTAACTTGTACATCATAGAATCATTATCATTAACCAAAATTAGTGTTTAATTTAGATCAGAATTTTTATAATTGACACTTTTTTATTTCAAATAAATTAGAAGATACTATATCATGAAAAATTACATTTATGAGAGCCTGTCTGAGGTAGGCTCTCATAAATGTAGGATCCAAAATCAATGCCCAAAAATTCAAACCAAATTAATACATTAATACTGGGCATGTTTGTTTTAGCACCTGAAAGTAAATTCATAATGTCAGGTAATGGAATGAGCAGAGAAGGTTGCCATTTGGTTCTTGTTGATTAATCTTTCTTGAGTTATCTATTTCAAAGTCTGTATTGACATTTCTGTAGTGCTACAGAAATATATGCATCACTAAAAATTCCAAATTTTCCCCCATTACTTTCATCCATCACAATTTAAAAATTCAGTGTACTTTAAATGATGATGTGAAGCTTGGATTTGACTTAGAAATAAAAATTGATATTTAGGCATATTGCACCAAAGTTATCTGAATAATTTTAGCTTCTCTAAGGGAATGTAAAATATTTAAGAATTTTTTAATGAACTCCCCAAGGGAATTCTGCCATTTTCTCCATGTAGTTACTTGTGGATCTCAATAGAAGTTGATATAATAAAAATTTTGGGGTTTTCTTCCAAAAATCTTGGGAAAGTACTTGTGGAAAATGTGACTTTAGTTTGATGCAAGAACCAATTGGTGTTTAAGTTCAGCAGATTAGTTGTTCAGCGGTTCCTTCATAGTTTAGATGTTGTCTAGTAGATGCCAGATAAAGAAATTGGCTTTTCCTGGTGGAGGAGGTGGATGTATGTTTGAACTTGATCAGTATTTTGGTTAATCTGTTTTTCTTAATGAACTGAGTCATATTTTCAGCTCCATTATAGAGCTGATTGTTGTTATTTGGTTTCAAAAAAATTGAGGCAAACCCTTTTTTGTTGTACTGAAGATGCATTCCAAGGATCTCAGTCTTGGTCTCATTGAAGTTGCTGACAAAGTTGTGGTTGAAACATAAGAGGATTGAACTCTCAGCTAACACAGACTTCTACTCCTGAGAAACCATCTCCTAGTTATTAATTTTTTAATGCACTTAATATTAAAACAAGAGAGAAATTATTGCCTCAAACTGTATCTGCAAGGCAGAACAGAAATAAAAAGAGCTTAATTGTGGGGGGGGGTTGGAAAGAGGAAACATTCAGATAATAAATCATTTCCATTTCAGCAGAGGGGCACTGCAGCTCTCTTTTGCTGTGTTTCTAGTCACATTCCTGGGAGTGTGTTAGGCTTCTCCAATCATTCTGCCCAATTTCTGCTCCACCTCTTGGATGTACTTGCTTGCAGAAATGACTGGCTGCACACAGACACACCTGTATTTGTTTCATTATCGTAAGCAATTGCGGTTTTGCCACTGATGTGTTTAGTAGATAAGTGAAAAAAATTCTGTTTATTTAGCTGATAATTGTAACCTGG